AAATGGTTGAAAGACCTAAACGTGAGACCGGAGTCCATTAAAATCCTAAAGGAGAAGACAGGTAGCAACCTCTTTGACCTCAGCCACAGCAACTTCTTCCTAGAAACATCGCCAAAGGCAAGGGAAGCAAGGGCAAAAAGGAACTATTGGGATTTCATCAAGATAAAAAGCTTTTGCCCAACAAAAGAAACAATCCACAAAACCAAAAGACAACCGACAGAATGGGAGAAACTATTTGCAAATGACATATCAGATAAAGGGCTAGTATCCAAAATCTATAAAGAACTTATCCAACTCAACACCCAAAGAACAAATAATCCAATCAAGAAATGGGCAGAAGACATGAACCGACATTTTTCCAAAGAAGACATCCAAATGGCCAACAGACACATGAAAAAGTGCTCAACATCACTTGGCATGAGGGAAATCCAAATCAAAACCTCAATGAGATACCACCTCACACGAGTCAGAATGGCTAGAATTAACAAGTCAGGAAACGACAGATGTTGGCAGGGATGTGGAGAAAGGGGAACCCTCCTACACTGTTGGTGGGAATGCAAGCTGGTGCAACCACTCTGGAAAACAGTATGGAGGTTCCTCAAATGGTTTAAAATAGAGCTACCATATGATCCAGCAATTGCACTACTGGGTATTTACCCCAAAGATAGAAATGTAGGGATCCGAAGGGGTACGTTCACCCCAATGTTTATAGCAGCAATGTCCACAATAGCCAAACTGTGGAAAGAGCCAAGATGTCCATTGACAAATGAATGGATAAAGAAGAAGTGGTCTATATACACAATGGAATATTATGCAGCCATCAAAAGGAATGAGATCTTGCCATTTGCAACGACGTGGATGGAACTGAAGGGTGTTATGCTGAGTGAAATAAGTCAATCAGAGAAAGACATGTATCATATGCCCTCACTGATATGAGGAATTTTTAACCTTAGGAAACAAACTGAGGGTTGCTGGAGTGGTGGGGGGTGGGAGGGATGGGGTGGCTGGGTGATAGACATTGGGGAGGGAATGTGCTATGGTGAGCGCTGTGAATTGTGCAAGACTGTTGAATCATTGATCTGTACTTCTGAAACAAATAATGCAATATATGTTAAGGAAAAAAGAAGAAGAAGAAGATAGCAGGAGGGGAAGAATGAAGGAGAGTAAGTCGGAGGGGGAGACGAACCATGAGAGACGATGGACTCTGAAAAACAAACTGAGGCTTCTAGAGGGGAGGGGGGTGGGTGGATGGATTAGCCTGGCGATGGGTATTAAAGAGGGCATGTTCTGCGTGGAGCACTGGGTGTTATGCACAAACAATGAATCATGGAACACTAAATCAAAAACTAATGATGTAATGTATGGTGATTAACATAACAATAAAAATAAAAAAAACTAATGATGTATTGTATGGTGATTAACATAACAAATATATATGTCAAAAAAAAAAAAAAAAAGAAATACCCTGGGCTTCTTATTAAGTACTGAGCTAGATTGACTTTTTCTAGGTGGAACAGGGAGAACATTGAAATTGTGGACAATGGCTTGGAATGCTTTGCGGAAAAGGAGTGATGAGTAGAGCAGGCACTGAATAGGATCTGTGTTTGCCTAAACTATCTGAACTCCAAGTGTGTGAGACAGAGGATTGCAGTGGGCAAGGAACAGTGGTGAAAGAGATCAAGATTCAAGGTGTAAGGGGCTCTGCCGCTAACATAAGGTGAGAGCTATCCCTTTGGACATTTAAAGGAAGAAACTCTTTGAATCATTTTAAAAGAGATCATGAAACATTTCTTTTAATATGAGTGAATTTTCTTTCATAAAATTGGAGTATAGAAAGAATAAAGCAATACTCTTTACTGTCAAAATATAGTGTGACCAATATATACACTATCCAAACACAACTAGTTAACATTTTGATCAATTTCTTCCTAGGCTGTGTGTGTGTTAGCATGTATTTGTGATTTTGTGTTTCCAATACTCTAATCAAACCGTTTAAATTTATTATATTTTTATGCCAGTGTAGTTAACATACAGTATTACCCATTTAATTTTTTGAAATCTTGATTCTTCATGAAATACCAAGTATATTTTTATGTTAACATTATATATATAACCATGCATAAGTTTTAAATGTTGATACTTCCTGAGAATCTCTTTTGACTCTTCTTTTTCTTTCTGTAATCTCCTCAGCCTTTTTTAATTCTTCCGTCAGAACAGCTAACACCTAAATGCTTTACAAGTTACAAATCTACACCTTATGTTTCAGACTTTCATACACAAATATTAACCATTTAGATGCACATTAATTAGTGGATTAATTTATTGATAATGAGTTAATTAATTCATGAAGATCTTAGTATGGGTTGGGTCGTGTCCTGAGTACCAAGAGTTGAATTTAAAGCAAGATGGTGAGAACCGAAGCAGGAGTCAGAAAGGCATGAAAAGTCTACATTTGGAAGGTTCTTAAGTGTAAATGTAGGCCTTTGGGCAGTTATTTCCAGTCTATATGCTGTACCCCTATTAAATAGTCTCACAACATTCTGCTTCTAACACTCATCAGAGTTGTATGTAGTTAATGAGCTATTGAAGTGATTGTTTTGTTTAACATCTGTATTAGTTTTCTTTTGCAGCTGTGACAAATTATTACATGCTTAGTGGCTTTTAAAGTAACTGAGGTATTATTTTATAGTTCTGTAGACCAGAAATCTGGCATGAGTCTCACTGGGCTAAGATCAAGGTGTTGGCAGGGTGCATTCCTTCTGTAAATTCTAGGGGAGAATACATTCTCTTGCTTTTTCCAGTTCGAGGGCCTCCTGCTTTCCTTAGCTCAGGCCTTCTTTCCTCAGCCTTCAAAACCACATTGGGCAAGTCCTTCTCACACTGTTATCTCTCTGGTGGTCTTTTCCACATTTAAGGACCCTTTACACTGGGTCCACAAGGATGATCCAGGATAATCTTATTTTAAGGTCAGCTGATTAGCCACCTTAATTCGATCTTCTACCCTAATTGTCTTTCATCATGTGACTAATGTATTTATAGATTTGAGGGAGGAGGATGTGGGCATTGCTGAGGGCCATTGTTCTGCTCACCACAGTGTTTATCTCCTTCCCCCAACTTATAAATTTCATGTAGCAAACTCTGTATCCACTCTTCTCTTCTTTTTTAATTGCAGAAGCTTGGTTTTACCCTGTGTGGCAATTGCTCAGCTAATAAATTTCAATATCCTGACCTCCACAGTAATAAGAAGCTTAATGTGGCACTGTTCTGGCAAATGAGTTATAAGAGGAAGTTACTGGGTGATTCTTGCAGAGATTTTACTATCCTGATAAGAAGTATCATCCCTTTATCCTTGTAGCCCTGTCTTAGAGTCTAAGGAATCATCTTTTGGCCAAGTATGATAGGAAAGACTACACCAAGGCTTCTGCATTAAGGACAAGAAGTAAAAGCATGGGAAGAGCCTTGGTCACCCATGACATTGTTTAGCTGACCTATTGTATCAGTCCAAGGCTTGCATCTCCTGGACTTCCTGTACCTGAGAAGAAATATTCGTTACATGCTTACACCACTGTAGTAGGCTTTTTAATTACTTGCAGCCATATGAAATCTTGCTTCATAACCTCCACGAGAGCAGGTACATTTTGTACCTTGTTTACCTCTGTATTTCCAAAGCCCAGGGCAGAGCAAAACATCTGTTAGGAATCCTAGTTAATAAATAAATTAACCCAAGAATTAAATTTCTCTTGAGATTTTGACTGTTAATCTGTATTTAAGGAGTAATTAGACATTAACTAGTTTAAGAAGGAAGGGTGAGTAGATCATCCAAAACAAAGTATTTGTCAATGCCCTGAAATGGGAGTGAACTTGTATTTAGGGAAGTAATAGAAAGTGGTGACGATAACATAATGGGGAAGAAGTGGAGGGGGCTAGTAGATCACACAAGATCACCATAGGCCATGTTAAGAATTTTTTTTTTTTTAATTCTAAGCACATTGATAAGAGACTGACAGATTCTAGGTGACATTCTCATATTTGTATTTTTTAAAATATTTTATTTCCAGTGTAGTTAACATATAGTGTTATGTTTTCAGATGTACAATATAGTGATCCAATAGCTCCATACATTACTCAGTGCTCAACAAGACAAGTACAGTTCCATTCCCCTTCACCTATGTCACTTAGCCCCCAACCACCTTTCCTCTGGTAACCATCCATTTGTTCTTTATAGTTAAGGGTCTGATTTTCTATTTGTCTCTCTCTCTCTTTTTTTTTATTTGTTCACTTGTTTTTTTCTTAAATTCCACATGTGAGTAAAATCTTATGGCATTTGTTTTTCTCTGACTGGATTATTTCATTTAGCATTATACTCTGTAGATCCATCCCTGTTGTTTCAAAGGGCAAGTTATCCTTCCTTTTTATGGCTGAATAATATTCCAGTGTGTGTGTGTGTGTGTGTTCTTTATTCATCTATTGATCGGCACTTGGGCTGCTTCCATACTTTGGCTATTGTAGATAATGCTGCTATAAACATAGAATTGCAAATATCTTTCCAAATTAGTGTTTTTGTATTCTTTGGGTAAATACCCAGTAGTGTAGTTAATGGATCATATGATAGTTAGTTCTATTTTTAATTTTCTGAAGAACCTCCATACTGTCTTCCACAGTGGCTGCAACAGTTTGCATTCTCACCAACAATGCAAGAGGGTTCCTTTTTCTCCACATCTTTGCCAATGCTTGTTGTTTTGTGTGTTTTTGATTTTAGCCATTCTGACAGTTATGAGGTGATATCCAATTATAGTTTTGATTTGGATTTACCTGATGATGACTGATGTTGAGCATCTTTTCATGTCTTCTTTGGAGAAATGTCTGTTCATGTCTCTGGCCATTTTTTAATTGGATTGTTTTTTAGTGTTGAGTTGTATAAGTTCTTTGTATATTTTGGATAATAACCCTTTATCACATGTGTGGCCCAGGAAGAAGTAACGTCAACCCGGTAGCCGAGTTGTGGCGCTGCAGTGGAGGCGCTTCTCCGACAACATGTCCCATCTACCCATGAAACTGCTGCACAAGAAAATCAAGAAACGGAACCTCAAATTGCGCCAGCGAAACTTAAAGCTCCAGGAGGCTTCGGATGTGAGCTTATCGGAAACCCAAAATGGAGATGTGTCTGAAGAAACAGTGGGAGGTTGGAAGGTTAAAAAATCCCTAAAACAGTCTGTGAATGTGGGCTCATCAGAAGCCCAGAATGGAGAGAGAGCTAAAGAAACCGTGGAAACTGTACAAGTTAAAAAAAAAAAAAAAAAGAAATCTACCATAATAATCAATGGAGAAGCAGCAACACAGCCTCCCAATTCAGAATCCAAAAAAAAGAAGAAGAAAAAGAGAAAAATGGTGGATGATGCTGGGCCTGATACCAAAAAAGCAAAAACTGAAGACAAAGGGGACTCTGAAGAAGGGGCCCAAGCTCCTGAAGAGACAGAACACAGTGTGCAGAAGCCAGATGAGCAGGAAGAGGACAGTGAAGTGCCCAGCCTACCCCTGGGACTGACAGGAGCTTTTGAGGATACTTCATTTGCTTCTCTTAGTAATCTTGTCAATGAGAACACTCTGAGGGCAATAAAATAGAAATGGGTTTTACAAACATGACTGAAATTCAGCATAAAAGTATCAGACCACTTCTGGAAGGCAGGGATCTTCTAGCAGCCGCAAAAACAGGCAGTGGCAAAACGCTGGCGTTTCTTATCCCTGCAGTTGAACTCATTGTCAAGTTAAAGTTCATGCTTAGGAATGGAACTGGAGTTCTTATCCTCTCACCTACTAGGGAACTGGCCATGCAGACTTTCGGTGTTCTTAAGGAGCTGATGACGCACCATGTCCACACATACGGGTTGATAATGGGCGGCAGCAACAGATCTGCTGAAGCACAGAAACTCGGTAATGGGATCAACATCATTGTGGCCACCCCAGGCCGCCTCCTGGACCACATGCAGAATACCGCAGGGTTTATGTATAAAAATCTGCAGTGTCTGGTTATTGATGAGGCTGATCGTATCTTGGATGTTGGGTTTGAAGAGGAATTAAAACCAGATTATTAAACTTCTGCCAACACGCAGGCAAACCATGCTCTTTTCTGCCACACAAACTCGAAAAGTTGAAGACTTGGCAAGGATTTCTTTGAAAAAGGAGCCATTGTATGTTGGTGTTGATGACGATAAAGCTAATGCAACAGTGGATGGTTTTGACCAGGGATATGTTATTTGTCCCTTGGAAAAGAGATTCCTCCTGCTCTTTACATTCCTTAAGAAGAACCGGAAGAAGAAACTGATGGTCTTCTTTTCATCCTGTAAGTCTGTGAAATACCATCAGGAGTTGCTGAACTACATCAATTTGTCTGTCTTGGCCATTCATGGAAGGCAGAAGCAAAATAAGTGCACAACCACATTCTTCCAGTTCTGCAATGCAGATTCAGGGATATTGTTGTGTACCGACGTGGCAGCTAGAGGGCTGGATATTCCTGAAGTGGACTGGATTGTTCAGTATGACCCTCCAGATGACCCCAAGGAATATATTCATCGTGTGGGAAGAACATCCAGAGGCCTAAACGGGAGAAGGCATGCCTTGCTCATTTTATGCCCTGAAGAATTGGGTTTCCTTCATTACTTGAAGCAATCCAAGGTTCCATTAAGTGAATCTGAGTTTTCCTGGTCCAAAATTTCTGACATTCAGTCTCAGCTTGAAAAATTGATTGAAAAGAACTACTTCCTTCATAAGTCAGCCCAGGAAGCATATAAGTCCTACATTCGAGCATATGATTCCCATTCTCTGAAACAGATCTTCAATGTTAATAACTTAAATTTGCCTCAAGTTGCTCTGTTGTTTGGTTTCAAGGTGCCTCCTTTTGTTGATCTGAACGTGAACAGCAATGACGGCAAGCTTAAAAAGAGAGGAGGCGGTGGCGGCTTCGGCTACCAGAAAGCCAAGAAAGTCGAGAAGTCCAAAATCTTCAAACACATTAGCAAGAAGTCCTCCGACAGCCGGCAGTTCTCCCACTGAAGACACGCCTTCCTTTGGTCTTGAATGGCTTTGTCCTGAAGTGGATGTTTTCCCTTTCTCTAACAAAGGAACTGTTGTGGTTTCAGAATTGGGACTGATGGAACAGGAGTATGAATTGACGTGCGTTACAAGCACCAGGCACTGATACTTCCAGGAGATACCACTCTTATTTGGGGATGTAAAACAGAGTTCAATTTTTCTAGGTTGTTCAAGAGCAAAGCAAGGGATCTTTTGGATTTTGTTATGACGACAGAGTATTTTAAATCTTTGACCTCCAAATTTGTCATTGTTTTGAGGGGGTGGGGTATTTTTTATTTAAAATCAATTAACATGTAATGTGTTAATGGTTTCATAGGTGGAGTTCGGTGATTCATCAGTCATATATAACACCCAGTGCTCATTACATCATGTGCCCTCCTTAATGTCCATCACCCAGTTCAACCTGCCTTAGAAGGTTGAACTTAGAAGTGACCTGGTACACTGGGGCTGGTGATGCAGAAGATTGTCTCAGGTTTTTTGTTTTTTTGGTTTGGTTGTTTCTTGGACCTTAACCATAGTTCCTGACCTCCCCTGAAAATGCTACTGTGGCTAGGAAGCACTTTTAATGTACGGTGGCGTTTGTTTTTATATATGCCAGATTTTAAAGCAGTGAGCCTTTCCCATTTTTTTAAGAGCACAAAGTGTGGGTTATTTGTCACTGTTACTTGAATAAAGCACCTTTAGCAGTCCTAACATTTGTTGGGAACAGTGGGAATCTGAGATTTTTGAGCCTCATTTACACCGATATAAGTGTAATAATCTGTTCTCCATTTAATAACTTAGCAAAACCCTTCTTGAAAAAGGCACAAAGTGATGACACAGCTCATTCAACTTTGTTTCAAGTGGTTTGGATTTTGGTGAACCCTTCCAACTCTGCAGAGTACTCAGGAGACAAAGCATCTTTTTGAGAAAAGTTTCCCCTTCCAGAACTGTGAAACAAAAATAGGTTTATGATGAAAATTGGAAATGAACAGCAGTCAAAAAAGAGCAGCAAAAGATGGGGGTTTCATCATGTGGGGTTTTTGTTGTAGGAACTCTTGACTTCCAGAGTGCTTCATGTGTCTTGTTTTATTTCCAGTGCATTTTATAACGACAAAATGGTTATTACATTTTGATCAATTTGAAACCAAAGTTGCTGGCATCGTTTTGCTGTTGTGCCAGTTAATGTTCATAGTTTCCTGTTAAATACGAGTACACTGAGAACTTCAGATGGGGAGGAAACAGCCTGATACAAGAGCATCCCAGTAGTAAAAACAAGAAGTGATCCTTTGAGTCTGAGCTTGGCCACTGTCCCCCTGGCTGGACCTGTCCTAGGGTTCAGGCCTTGACTGCTGGACTCCTGGCATTGAAGAACTCTTTATCTAAAACATCCAGTAACTTGTTTTTCTTTTTTGTTTCAGACATAGTCATGTCTCAAAAAATACACAAAAACAAAGGGAAAACTCTTTAATCACAGAGCGGGAGTAAAAACTGTCGATATTTTCGTACCTAACCATCAGGGGTTTTGTATACATACTTTTAAATTTTCTATCAGGATTGAAGTCATCCTTTACCCCCTACTTGTAACCAGCTTGTTTCATAACGTGTTATTTTCCCGTGTCATTAAATAATTAACGTCCGTTTTATATTTCAAAAAAAAAATAACCCTTTATCAGTTATATGATTTGCAAATATTTTTTCCCATTCCGTAGGTTGTTTTTTAGTTTTGTTGGTTGTTTACTTCACTGTGCAGAAGCTTTTTATTTTGATGTAATCCCAATAGTTTAGTTTTGCTTTTGTTTCCCTTGCCTCAGAAGATCAATCTAGAAGGATATTGCTGTGGTCAATGTCTGAGAAATTACTGCCTGTGCTCTCTTCTAGGATTTTTATAGTTTCAGGTCTCACATTTAGGTCCTTAATCTACTTAGGGTTTATTTTTGTGTATGGTATAAGAAAATGATTAAATTCCATTCTTTTTCTTGTCCATGTCCAGTTTTCCCAATACCATTTGTTGAAGAGACTGTCTTTTTCCTAGTGCATATTCTTGCCTCCTTTGTTGACAACTAATTGACCATGTAATTGTGGGTTTATTTCTGGGCTTTGTATTCTGTTCTGTTGATTTGTGTGTCTGTTTTTGTGCTAACACTATAGCTTTTTGATTACTACAACTTTGTAATATAACTTGGAGTCTGGAATTGTGATATCTCCAGTTTTGTTTTTCTTTTTCAAGATTGCTTTGGCTATTGGGGTCTTTTATGGTTCCATATAAATTTTAGGATGATTTGTTCTACTTCTTTGAAAAATGCTGTTGTTATTTTGATAGGGATTGCATTAAATCTGTAGATTGCTTTGGGCGGTATAGACATTTTAATAGTATTTGTTCTTTTTCTTTTCTTTTTTTTTTTTTTACAATATTTTTTCTTCCAATCCATGAGCATGGAATATCTTTCTATTTCCTTGTGTTGTGTGTTATCTTCAATTTCTTTCATCAGCGTTTTATAGTTTTCAAGGTACGGGTCTTTCACTTCTTTGGTTAAGCTTACCTAGGTATTTTATTATTTTTGGTCCAATTATAAATGGGATTATTTTATTAATTTCTCTTACTGCTGCTTCATTATTAGCAGATAGAAATGCAACAGATTTCTGAACATTTATTTTGTATCCTGTGACTTTATTGAATTAATTTATCAGTTCTAGTAGTTTTTTTGGAGTCTTTAGGGTTTTCTGTATATAGTATCATGTCATCTGCAAAGAGTGAAAGTTTTACTTCTTCCTTACCAATTTGGATGCCTTTTCTTTCTTTTTCTTGTTCAATTGCTGAGGCTAGGACTTCAAGTACTGTGTTGAATTAAAGTAGTGAGAGCAGACATCTTGTCTTGTTCCTGATCTTAGGGGAAAGCTCTGTTTTTCCCCATTGAGTATGATGTTAGTCGTGGATTTTTCATATAAGGCCTCTATTATGTTGAGGTATATTCCTTCTAAACCTACTTTGTTGAGGGTTTTTATCATGAATGTATATTGTATTTTGTCACATGCTTTTTCTGCATCTATTGAAATCATATGGTTTTTATCCTTTCTCTTACTGATGTGATATATCATGTTGATTGATTTGTGAATATTGGACTACCTTTGAATTCAGGAATAAATCTCACTTGATTGTGGTGAATCACTTTGTTAATGTATTGTTGGATTTGGTTAGCTAATATCTCTTGAGGATTTTTGTATCTATATTCATCAGAGATATTGGCTTGTAGTTCTTTTTTTGTGGTATCTTTATCTGGTTTTGGTATCAGGGTAGTACTGGCCTCATAGAATGAATTTGGAAGTTTTCCTTCCTCTTCTGTTTTTTTGGAAAAAAACTGAGAAGAATAGGTATTCGCTCTTCTTTAAATGTTTGGTAGAATTCACTTGTGAAGCCATCTGGCCTGGACTTTGTTTGTTGGGAGTGTTTTGATTACTGATTCAATTCCATTGCTGGTATTCAGTCTGTTCACATTTTCTGTTCCTTCCTGATTCAGCTTTGGGAGGTTATATGTTTCTAGGAATTTCTCAATTTCTTCTAGTTTGTCCTGGCATCATATTTGTATTTTTGAAGGTTCTTTTGGGCTGCTATGTAAAGAAAGGCAGGTGAATGCTTTGAGAAAGATCGAGAGGGTATGAAATTGTCTAGGTGAGAGATGATGAGAGCCTGATGTGATCTGGTGATCTGGAAATGGAGAGAAGTACATGGATTGGAGAGACATTAGAAAGTTAGGTTGGTAGGACTTAGCACTTGACTGGGTATGAGGATAGGAGGGGGAAGGGTGTGGGTTAACTCAGGCTCTGATAGTGTATGTGGGAGGATTGCAAGTTGTTCAAGCAGCAGCAACATCCTGGCATTGCTCTGTTGGAGATCTTAGTCAGAATCTCTTATTGCATGTTTGTCATGTACCACATTAGTAAGCAGAGGACTAGGGGATAAATCTATATTAGAATACTTCAGAGCCTAGGATCAATTACAAGTGGGGATGAGTGGCTGGAGATAATACAGAACTTGGTTTAGAGCCAGGGCTATGAATCACTTTATAATCTATCTTAAAGAATTTGTTTTGTTTTTTTCTTGATATGTACTTATCGAGGGCACTATTCTGGAGCTATGGACATGAAGATAAATACCCTCTCTTAATGAGCCCAGAACCTAGTACAGAGCTTTCTCATTTGATACCTGAGTGGGTCACAGGTAAGCTGAGTGAGAGACCCCTCAGCGATCAGGGCAGCCAGGCAAGCTCCTCCACTTACACCTGTGTGGCATGCATATATATGACTTTTTGTGTGTGCTGTGTAAAATTTCAGGATTCACTGGTGTTGGAGACAAGTTAGACACAATAAGGGCAGTAAGAATGACAACAATAGTAATAATATAATACACTGTAATGATACAATAAAGGAATAGTAATATTTAAAAAAATCTGCTGGGAGATGGTTTGGGTGACATTTTTAAAAGCAAGTGTTCTCCAGGAAGCTGGAAGAATGGGTACCTATCCTTCTGGAAGTTTCAAACCTGAAAATTCCATTAGACTTCCAACTATAAAATACCTCAACTTTTTCTTCAATAACTGCCTACTTTTTCAGGTAAAGTGACATAAAGCATCTTCCATCATCTTTCATCAGCCGATGAATTTTGAAAATGTACTATGTGCTACAGAATGGATGGCAATGTAATAATATGTCTCTACTCTTTCCCCCTCTGGGTAAGAAATGGGTATGGAAAGGTGATGTAGCTTCTCGTTAAGTTGAACCTGAGTGTTTCCTAAAGTGATATCGTACTCTTTCATTATTTACTTCCTTCAGCTTCTCGAAGTTTAAGTTATAGCTGAGAAGTTTCCAATGCTTTTTCATGAAAGAATCTTTTATAGCTCCTAAAACTGTATGTTGGCCAGTTAAATTCGTTATTTCTCTCTACAGATTTGCTGTACATATCAAATAACATTGTGTTTTAAATGTTTTTGGTACATAAGAATTTCATTACATCTGGGTGATTCTATTGTTTTGCCACTCTTTCTTTTTTGCTCAGGGAAGCTTTTAGAAGGTCACATAAAATGACCACTGGTTAAATCCACTTACAGGACGATCATCCTATGAAATGTTCAGTAGATTACACCGGGTTTTAAATCATGATTTGAAGTTTAATTCAAATCGATAAGGGAATCTCTTGGAGTGATTGCAACAGTTGAAACTGGGCCTAGAAACTCACTTGGTTTACTGCATTACTAAAAG